CGATCTGGGGGGGGCGTTTTGTGCAGTGATATGGATGGGAGCGAAATTTGAGACACGGCTGGATGAGTCGCCAACATGACAGGTCGCATCGAGATAGGCACGACAGCATGTTCTCAAGGTGAAAGTGGAGGACGTCAGGCAAGACTGAAAGGGTGTTGTTGTCAGTGGGCTTCAGTTCGACCAATTGCCCGCCATGTCACATCGCATTACGCAGCGACTCCGCAGGGAGCCCCGGCCTGTTAAAGGGCTGTCGAGGTCCGCCATAGAAACGCCCCGGGAGGCTAGCTCTGCGCCAAGGGTGCCACATGCGTGCCGCGTCCAGCGCCCTAGCCACTGGCATACGCCGCTGCTCTGGCCCGGATGCAGCAGCCCAGGCCCCGGAAGGCAAGCTTGTCGAAAATATTCAGGGAAGGAAGGACACTATATCGTTCGCTGCGTCACACGCCACACGCAACGGGCGGCTAACGAGATGGGGGCTAGCATCACGTAACTAGCCCGTCGGGAACTGCGGGAGGGCTCCATTGACCCTATGCACTCCAATACGGCTACAGTCCGCTGGTCTCAACCCCTGTCAGATGCGCTGCTCATCAGCGTTTATCTCGGATTCAATCAACATGTTCGTCGTTCACCGGTTCTTGAAAGAGCGACAAACCTGCTTCCCCGTGCCATGTCGCCATGGCCCGACATTCACCCATCATGTACATGTACGCTCGGTGCAATACAACCCTCTGTGCCTTGAGAGCCCTTGTCCATCTCCCGTCTTGTCGTTCAAGAAGCACCTGGTCTCCTTCTCTCCCACCCCCCACAACAGCGAACCCCTCTTCCTTCACCATTTGATTTGAGCCGGCCCATTAGGTCCATTGGAGTTGGCCAAACCCTGAAGCCTCCAAAGAGGAAAGAAGAGGTAAGAGCGTCATGGCTATCCCCACGACTGCCGTTCTCGCGGGTTCTACGTTGCTTTTCGCCTTGTGGACCGCTGTCTCTATGTTTCGGCAGTACTTGCGCCTTCGTCACATCCGAGGACCCCGTCTGGCCGGGTTCTCGCAGTGGTGGTTGGTTCGACGTGTTGGCGGCGGCCGCACGCACCTCGATCTCTACGAGGTCTGTGAAAAATATGGTCAGTCTCGCGCACCAACAGCTCCTATTCCCCGCAACCGCTGTCTCAAATTCTCGATCCCTCATCCTGCTGTTCTCTTCCCAATCATGCTGTACATATGCACGATCAAGCAATCTGGTCACGCTTGGCAGCTGCGGCCCAGTCTTGCAGAGAATCAGTCAATGGGTACTGACTGTTAGCAGGTGATATTGCTCGCGTCGGCCCCAATGATCTTATCACCAGTGACCCCGATCTTATGAAGCGGATGCTTAATGTTCGCACGACATATAAGCGATCTGAATGGTACGATGGCATGCGACTCGACCCTGCCAAGGATAATGTTCTCTCCATGCGTAATGACGAGCTGCATGGCAAGCTACGGTCCAAAATGGCCGCCGGGGTGAGTGTTTCCATTTTCTTTTCCACAATCTTTTTCTTTCTGCCAGTCAACTTGATTGCCATGTGTTTTTTTTTTCGTTAGCTATTGAAATTGGCCTCAATCAAAAACATCTCTCGGCCCTCCTTCATATCCTAACAAGACACTCGCAGTATTCTGGGAAGGAGGTCGATAATCTCGAGGCCAAGATCGACACCAATGTCCTCGCGCTACTCAACCTCCTTGAAACAAAATACATTGACCTGAACAAGGCCTTTGATTTTGGCCGCAAAGCCCAGTACTTCACGCTCGATGTCATTTCGGACCTCGCCTTTGGCACGCCCTTTGGCGATGTTGCCTCCGACTCGGACGTCTACGAATACATTCAGACAATGGAGGACAACATGCCGACGATCATCGTCACATCCGTCATCCCCTGGCTTGTTGCCATGATACAGCATCCGCTCTTCAAGTTCCTCCATCCCTCCGAGAAGGATCTCATTGGCCTTGGGCGCACCATGGCCATCGCGAAGCAGGTGGCAGCCGAGAGATTTGGCCCCGACCGCAAGGTTCAACGCGACATGCTGGGCTCATTCGTTGCTAAAGGACTCACGCAGTCAGAGGTCGAGTCAGAGATTCTCATGCAGATCCTCGCGGGGTCGGACACCACGGCCACGGCTATCCGTGCGACCCTCCTGCACATCATTACCGCGCCACGCGTCGTTGCCCGTCTGTTAGAGGAAATTAGCGCTGCGCGTCCGAGCAAGCCTATCATAACAGATGCAGAGGCAAGAGCGATGCCGTACCTTCAGGCTGTCATCAAAGAGGGACTGCGGATCTTCCCACCTGTCGTAGGCCTCATGTCGAAGGAGGTTCCAGCCGGCGGAGACACGTTCAAGGGGGTGTTTCTACCCGAGGGCACGAAGATCGGATACTGTGCCTGGGGCATCTTTCGCCGCGAGGACGTTTGGGGGAAGGATTCGCATGAATTCCGACCAGAGAGGTGGTTGGAAGCAGACCAGGAGACACTCCAGAACATGGAAGGCACTCTTGATTTGGTGTTCGGGTACGGCCGCTGGCAATGTCTTGGGCGAAACGTGGCGTTGATGGAGCTGAACAAGGTGTTTGTCGAAGTGAGCTCTCCACCGTCTGTCTCTTGGGCCTGACACTAACCACCATGCAGCTTGTGAGGCGTTACGATCTCTCGCTTGTGGATCCAACCAAGCCATGGCATTCGATCAATGCTGGCGTCTTTCTCCAGTCCGACTATTGGATCCGTGGCTACAGGCGAGATTTCCAAGGTCAGAAGGCCTGATACTTGTAACATGCGGATGAAAGTACCACTGTGGAATACATATACTTGTGCACATTGCGCCCAGATCGCCAAACTCTGTCTAGAATTCTATCCCCATAACTCGTTCTTCGCATTTTGAAACGTTTGGAACGTGTCGGCTGAGAGCTTGAGCTGACGGCGCCGGAAATCATCCTCTGGGTGATGCTATAGTCACGTATGACCAGCATAGACTGTGACGAAAGTTACATAAAAACATGATGAAGGGATCACTAATTGTCATCGAGGTGTGCATGGGACCAGGTTCGGAAACAGTCCCAGCGACTGAAATCGAACTTTCTCCCGCATTAGTGCGGCCGCAGTTCGGTACTTTGGCTGGTCGACAGGGCGGCTTGATTAAGACCCTGCCTAAACTCAATCAAAAATTTGCATCAGCCTGTGGTAGCAGGTATCACGCAACAGGGGAGCAGTCGACACGACTCATGCGGCATGCCCGTGGAAACCGGGAGATGACCGACTTTACTACAAGTACAGGCCCAAGCAATAAGATGATAAAATCAGGCATTGCCAATTGCCTATTGCGATACCTTCTACCTGCTGTCCCTCACAAGCTGCAAGCATGTTTGCAGGCGCTTTCAAGTGATGTACAACCATAAACCTTCTCCGTCGTCCATTCATTTAGACATCTAGCTCCATCTGGGTATGAAAAAAAATCGAGACCGCCAATGCGGCCATGTGGGTATAAGAATCCAAGGGGTTCAGGGGAAGGCAAAGTGACGACGTCGATAAGGAAAGATCGGGTGAAGTGAGTGTGAGTTTTTCGATAGGACTCTTCCTAAGGCCCTGAACGTAGTTGTGCTGCCCATGCCAGGTTTGACTACAGTCAGTAATATCCGGACTGCGGGCCATCGCCGGCCGGACTGTGCAATGGGTACTGTCCAGCGAAATCCATAATGCCATCTTGCATTTCAATATCGGTTGCTGGTTCGGGGGTACCGCCGGTGATGCTCCGTAGGCTTTGCAGATCGTCCGCTATGATGCCGTTCTGCAAAGCGCCGTTCGGTTGGACGTACTGCCTGTTGTCGTGATACATCGGAGACGGCGACGTTTCTGGTATGCTGCTGAAGAAATGTCCAAGTTGGCTGCTGCTGCGTTGTTGCTGCTGTTGTTGCTGCTGCTGCTGCTGTTGGTGTTGTTGTTGTTGTTGCTGCGGCAGGTGATGCTGGCTGCTCATGGTCGTAGGCCTTGTTTGGTGAAGTTGTGGTGGGCGCATGGATCGCTGGCGACTGGGAACATAGACCTTTCGCTGCGAGGCTATGTAATGGGCCAAGGCTGGATTTGTGCCCCGCGATATACGGAACGAGAAGGGATCTTCCTGCGGCACGGTAGGGATGCTGGGCTGCCGTGACTTGAGCTTGTGGCCAGGGATGTTCTGCTGACAAGTATCGGACACCGGGGTCACAAAATCGTCCCTAAACTTGCGATGCGTGCTTGGATCTGTGCCAAGGATGTAGGCGTATTGGATCAGGAGCTTGATGTCGCCAATGTGTCGGCTCTCGAGCCTCTTGCGTAGGATGCCTGAGGTCTGAGGATTCCAAACCAGTTTGCTCTGCGCGCCTTCATTCCAAGCCGCCGAATCGTTCCACATGGGCGCGACCTGTGCCTGCCGAAGTAGATTTCGTATCCTGGCCGAGTACGTCCACTCACCGCTGTTGGATCCTTCGTCAAAGTGTTTGACAACGTGGCTGACGTAGTCCTTGAAAACAGCTGCGGCATCATCGTCGTTCGGTGCCTCGTACACTTGTGGGCAATTTTCGAAACCACAGGCGAAGACAACCTGCTGGCACAAGTTCACCTTGGCCTCGTCAAGCGACATACGAGACCCTCCATGCGCCGTCTTCAAGTGCGTCTTGTAGGCAGCCTGCCAATCAAAGACCATCTGGCATCCTCGGTGACGGCAGAACCATTGGGCATTAACATTGTGAAAGTCCTCGATGTGACGCTTGAGATCGTTCTTGCGGGTACAGGTCTTGGTGATATCCTCCTCCTTGCAGAAGCCACACATGAAGGCACCCTTTTGCTTCGAAGAGGTTGAGGTTGAAGTGGTCGGAATGCCTTCGTTTGCTGGCGTCGCTTGAGGGGTGCTGCCATCTGAGTTCCATTGCTGCATAGCATCGTGATGATCCTGCTCAGCCTGGGCAACGGTTTGCGAGTGCGTCTGGGCCTGAGCTGCAGCAGTTGCACTGGTGGTGTTGCTAGCAGTGCGGCGGGCGAAGAACTTGGCGCCCTTGGACACATTGGACCGTATGCTGCCGGCGATGGACGATGTGTCCGACGAAAACGTTCTTACGCTTTGTGTATCCCAGACGCTCGAAGCGTCATCCGACAACACGGAGGAGGGAGCAACGCTTGGTGCGCTCGAAATGATGGAGGCTCCATCGGATTCTGAGACGAGTCAATGCTGGTGACGAGCGGAACGGGGGCCCAGTTTGGTTGGAGGCGTATCGACTTACGAGGACCAACCTCATCCCGAATGAGTCTACTCAGTTCGCGATGCCCATATCGACCTAGCAGATGCTGGATTAATTGACGATCGAGGTCCTCTTGATGCGGCGCCGGCGGCGGTTGGGAGGAGCCGTCCCCAGGCCAAGGATTCGCGGACATGTCCCCGGGCATGTGCCGACGGGCGACAGGAGAGAGAAACGGGCGTCAACCAGCGGGCGTAGGTCGGTAAGAAAGAGTGGATGCAGGGCCGACTGGATGCAGCGGTCAAAAGTATTGGGGTGACGAAAACTCGTCTCACAATAACGACGACAACGACAACGTGGAGAGGGCTCGAAGCGAGAAAAGCGTTCGTTGTACGTCGTCTGCGTAGGTACAACGGCCGGCGAAGAGGTCGATGGGCGAAAGAATGGAAAGAGAGGGAAATTCTGGGCGAGAGCGGACAATCACAGCGTATCTGAGCACTTGGAGACCTACCCAGCAGAAGCATGGAGAGCACGGGGAGACCAAACCCAGAAAAGATGGTGGGTGGGCAGAGTTAGCTGGGGTCTTGGGTCGGTCTTGGGTCTTGCTTCTTGCTTCTTGGGGGGGCCCTTCTCCTCGTCTGGGTGTTACCGGTCGATTTCAGGTGGGTCTGAGCTTGACCCGGAGCCTGGACCACCAGGATCTCAAGATTGGGGGCAAAGCAAGGGTAAGGGGGACGAGGCCGGGAAAGGCAAAGCGCTGCTGGACGATAACGGACGAGGATCAGAGAGATACGGACTAACACATGCCAAACCTTGTTATCTCTTGGCCAGTTTCTGGTCCCTCGTACCTATGAGCTCTGAACGGTGGCTGTATCTGCGTCGGCGGACCTGCATCCAGGGCCGAAAAGAGAGGTGATCTTCGCTGTCAATTATTCCGACAAGCAGCTGGGGGGTTGACGGTCGCCCTGGAGTTGATTCTGGCATGAGTCGTCGAAAGTTTTCGGAGTTGTACGCCACCGACACTTGGGCCCAGCGCTGTGGGAAGGCCTGGTGCGCTACATGTGAATCGATTACGGCGGCCTTACCTCCCCGGCACATGGAGTGTATGATCACTGACGAGTCGTGCATCATTAGGTGTCTGTAGTTGTAATGTCTAGTGAGGCGGGACACAAGGAAAATACACCGCCGCCAGGAGTCGCGCATCCGTCATCAACATTTGTCTAGGGCAGTCGCACAAACCGCGTTTCGCGAACCAGGTGGGTGATTGCCCGCCCTTCGGACCAGAGACGTTGGGCTCCTGGAGGGCCGACTGCACGACTTGACCAACTGGACTGTCTGTAATGTAACTACCTACTAGCATCCCCAAGTTTGTCAACCCCTGCTGTAATGATAATCAAGCAAGTGACAGGGGTTGGCTAGTCCTCGTTCACCTCTCCAATTGCGTGCGAGGCAGCCATCCATGTCAGACGTCCAGGGAGACCAAGGGGTGCGTCAACGTTCATTCGTTTGGTCGTCTACAGTTGGTTCGCTGCTGGATAACCCGTGCTGATTGTTGTGACCCTCGTTGATTCGATCTTATTGATCGTCTCACGCAGCGAAGGATCCGTGAAGTCATGATCGAACGCCGTACGACACCAGCTTCGTCGAATTGTATCAAAAAGGTGTATAAAGGAGGGTGAGGCATTCGATCTCTCTGAGGGGGGGAACATATCGAATTAATTGATCTCGTCAGTTGCCGTCGGTCATGGCCTCCCAACAGCGAAACAGACCAGATGAACCTAGCCCCCTGTCGCAGACCATGAAGCAGGATCCCACTTTACGAGGCTTCTTTCATGTCGGTCTCGACGGCGTCGTTCGATCAATGTCTGGTAGCTACACAGTTCTCGATGCTCGCGGACTCAGTGCTGTGCAAATTGCCAACATCATCGCGCACTTTCCCCTGACAGAGGAAGAGAGGGATAAATACCACGGCGTGGATGGTTCCAACATCACCGGTCATGACGAGCTGTACCATCCGAGGCCGGGGATCCTGCCGAAGAAACCAACAGAAGCGGAGCGAGACGAGAGGCGTCAGATCGTCGAGGCATATCAAAAGGAGAGGGAAGAATCAGGAAGTTCAGTGACTTGTAGGCTACCAGAAGCGGATGGTGTGTCGACTGAGGATCGCCTGGCCCAGGCACGGACCGAAATCGAGGAGCGCAATGCACTGCTGGAGGAGAGGGACCCGACCTTGGCTTGTTGCAAGCCATCACCGTTTGAAAATAGTTAGACGCCTTATTTCACAATCCTCAAAGGTGGCCACTGCGCGACACGGTATGGTCGCTGCAGCCCGAATGCCGAATTCTAAAGTTAGCAGTCCTATTACAAGGCAACATACGGTATATGTCAGGGCAGGGGCAGCAGAAATACTTGCATTCCTCCACCAATACGACCGTGGCCAGGCTACAGGAGTGTTTTGGGCCTGGCTGTTGCCACTGTACGGTGTCACGGAAGCGAACAAAGAGATGACAGATCTTGGATTGCCTCCCACTGCTACTGCTGCTTACAGTGCGACTGACCTCGTACACCGTACAGGTCACACGCAAGATCCATGGTGAGGCATTAGAGGTGCGTCCCCCTCATTCCGTTAAACACTGTGGTCATCACACTGGCTGGAATAGGCTTGCGCGCTCCATCTTTGAAAGTCGCCACGAAAAGCAACCGGAATCGCCATTGTCGTGGTCGTGGTCATGGTCGTAGTTGTGGTCGTGGTCGTCCAGCAGTGACGCGATGGTATTGCTCATAGCCTCGAGTATCCGCAGCAAGAGAATGTTTGCGTTTTGTCATAAAATTGACCTGACAATTCACCTAAAAATATGGAGATGTGGGCCTCGATGCCGACGTGGGGGCTGTATGTCACGTGGGTTCTCGAGGTTTTGTTTTCTACTGTGTGATGAGTGAGCCTGGCCTGGCGTCATCACGCGGGTTGACGGCTTCGTCAGTCAGTGATCTCGATTGAAACGCCACGCTGAGCGCCAGAGGCTGGGGCGAGATCCTTCGGCACAGCAGTGCGCTTCTGTCAGCCAAGGTAACATGAGCCAGCAATGGAAGTCTTCCAGAACATGGCACCTCTGACCAACAGCTAAATGGTAGGGCAACCTATTAGAGATTTAGTTCCTGAGGTACTCCGTGCATGCCAGACCAGGGCGCGTCTGCCAATGAGCTTGCCAACTTTATCCACTGAGACACAATGTGTTACTTTCTTTGCGAGGGGAGGGGGCGGGGGCGAAAAAGAAACGCTCTTATCATACGCGCATAGGCCGAGCCTCAGGCTTCGTGAGCTGTTTCTGACGTGGCGAAATGACAAAGACATCCGACTGGCGCATACCAGAACCAGGTCAACGGACAGGCAGTACGGGCTTTCAATTGACAATCACTCCACTACATTACGCTCCAATGCTTCCTTCCTTGACGATGAACACAGCGCTGCCGCTTCCTGGCCGGCTGACCACCGTAGCCTCGGCCTTTTGCTCCGCTGTCAGCTCCCGCTTCGAGTAGTACTCACGGTCCCATGCTGTCTGTACTGCCTCGACCTTGTCAGCGGGGACGAGATGCACACTGCATCCACCCCATCCAGCTCCAGTGATGCGACTTCCATATGAACCAGCCTCGCGTGCGATCCTGCAAATATCGTCAACCTCAGGCCAGCTGTTCTCGTACGCTGTCTGGCAAGACGCGTGCGTTTCGTTGAGCAGGGCGCCGAGCTTGGTGTTGAGCTCCGTCGTGTCAGCGCCTTTCGACGGCGCGGCGGACTCAATCAGTGACATGAACTCAAGCGTGCGTAGAGCTTCGGCGAAGACATGCAACGCGCGCTGACGAAGCTTGAACCGGTCGGCTCGGATGGGGATCTTAGAAGTGTAACGCGCCTCCAATTCGGCAACTGTGATGCCGAGCGTCGAAGCCACTTCCTCGCGTGTGTAACCGTCCTCTTGCGACAGTGCTGACTTTGTCAACCGGATGAGCTCCACGAGCTGAGCTTCTGGAGTATCGAAATGGCTCCCAGTCGCGACCGAGTACTCGCTATTGGCAGCACGCTGGTGGTGGAAGTAGGTCTCATGGAAGCCGTGCAGTGAGGTGCCCAAGGGTCCGGCGTCGGCGGGCAACTGCGTTCCGGGCGGGTTAAGCACGGCGTTGAGATAGGCAGCAGCCAGCGTTACCTCGACGACACGGAGGTTGTAGTGAATTGGCCCTGTGACATACTTGTTTGAAGTCACAAAAGACTGGGCGATGAGGAAGACAAGCTCGGGGTTGGTTGGAGGGAAGAAGACGGGACGAGCCGTCAGCTTGGGGGCAAAGGAGACGAATAGAGCGGCATCACGCTCCGAAAAGACAGAAGCCGACTGGTCCATGCCTCCCGAGTTGACGCCAACCGCACGCTCGCTGACAATGGCAAGCTCCGTAAGCTCCGTCTTGTCGACAGCCTCCTCGCCATTGGCGACCACGACAGCGAGCGCCGACGCAGAGACAAAGGCCGCACTCGAGCTGAGGCCTCCACCGGCGGGCACATTGCCGTCCATCAGGATCTTCATGCTCTTGGGGCGGAAGTCGGGTCCCCGTTTCTTTCGAAGGAGTTCAAGAGCGCCACGGAGCCCGCTCTTGAAATAGTTGGTCCACTCGTGCTGGGTGGCATCAATTTCAACGTCGCCGTCGACTGCGACAGCAAACTCGCGGGTGGGGAATTTATCGGACTGGACATTAGCCACAGTCAGCTTGAAGGACGACGAATCGGCGGGTGTCTCGTCGTAGGAGACAGCGATGATGGCGTCTGCCGTTATGGCCATGGGAAGGACGGAGTATAGAGAGTAGTCGAGGTGCTCGCCGATGATGTTCACGCGTCCAGGGGAGCGTGCGACAAAGGCTGCAGCCTCGCCAAACTGTTGCTCAAAGCGCGACAGCAGTGTTGTCCATCGCTTCGACTGTGATGGCAAGGCATCGTCGGTATAGATATCCCTGAGGGAGCGCGCGATGGGGACGTTAGCAGACATGATGGTATTTGACGATTGAGATTCGGGCTGTCAAAGATATCAAGGACAATGGCGCATGCGACAGCTGTTGCTACCCCGCAATGCCCCTCACTCTGCTTTGTAGGCTCTTGGCGATCTGGTATTCCTCACAAAGCTCACAGAATGAGCTGACGAGGTTGAGCGGCACGACGATGGTAGAGGATGAGGCAGGCAAAAAGATGGAACAAACGAAGCAGGAACGAAAGAAAAAAATCCACGACCGGCTTGTCAACTTCTTCATCATAGCGGTTTGCCCACTAGCTCAGGGCAATTTACGCGATCGAGCCCCTCGTCCCCATTTCACCCCTCCACGTCCCCAAACCCCTCACCCACCATGTGCCCCGCGAGAAATACTGCGTTCGGGGAACTCGGCTCCGCTGAAACCCGCCGCCATCACAGTTTCCCGCCTTCGCACTTCAAAATGACAGCCCAGGTTTTCGGTTTTCGCGTATTTTAGCGTCCGCCCGACATTGTGTGGCTTGATGTGTCGTCGATTGCCAGGCTGGACGCTTGGCTGACGGTCCTGATGTATAGCTCCTCGGCTCGAGGCGGTCAGAACCAATTGGTTTTCAGCATCTTTTGGTGAAGCAGGGCTGCGTTGGGTGTTGGGTTATCAGCCGGTTTAGGCCGCCTGCTCATGCACAGCCAACCCTCCTTCGACCCCAATTACACCTTGTCTCCGTCTATCCAACGCTCGGGGCATTATAGTACGCAATCCTCAACCGAAATCCAAGACTATCTAGGAGTAAACTCGAGAGCGGCGATAGTCCTTCTCGTCTTGTGAAAGACAGACGTCATCGGGATGCCAACATAGCCAAAGACCTTTCGCATTGTTGCTTCGCTACGACCACTTTCCAGGTAACGACACAACGGATCAACAAAGACGCTCGAAGAGCATCAATGGCTGTAGACAAAAAAAAATCAATGGTAAATATCAGCGTCTTCCAGGGTGTCAAATCTGGTGGTACGGGTGAGCTGTCGATACAGGCCAGAGGCCTCACAGTATTTGGAATATCGTGACTTCAAAAAGTACATTGAAATCTTTATGGATATAGCAACTAGTCAAAAGGTACTCACAAGGCCTCAATCCTTGTTTCCCACATTCGCTGCTATTTAGCAAGCCAAACAGGCCAAGCAATTCACCAAAACCAAGATCATTTCGACGGGCTCATGTTTTGAACCCCGACGAGATACCCTGTAAAAGAGATATTCATGCATTTGAGTTTTGCATGGTAGCTAAATTCACCCAAACCGTTTCATTATCTTTTATATTGGACATTTGGAATCTCTTTTTGGTAGAGGTCAGCCTCTGGTGTTGGGCCCGTGGCTCGTAAGGCAAAAAAAGCTTTCGTCTAACTCTAATTGCCGGTGCCGGCTACTAAGAATTTTCAAGGTCGATCTTTTTCCGTGAACTACAATCTCATCCATCTAATACGATGGAGTCTATTTTGTACACGATTTGGCATTTCTGTTGCAAGCTAACCTTGGTATTATTACCGTCTACTGTTGCGCTTATTTTTCTTGCCGAGATGTGCCGCCTTAAAAGGGAACATCTGATCTTTCAAGTCACGTCATCTGCCTGATGGTTGTTCCAGGAGAGTCGCGACCGGCTGCTTTGAATTCAAAATCATCCGAAGAACAGCAATCCAATGTTCTAGCGCAAATCGTGAGTGTGCAACACTTTTTCCTCTGCCTGGGCTCATAGAACTATTTGTATCTAATTTAGATCCGATCTTCTGTTTCTAGTCGAGGGATTTCTCAAAGAGTCAAACTATCTAATCAATCGTTAACCGGAGGGGATTAGATTGATCAGGCCTGCGCGCCGTCTCCGACATCCAGCGCTCATCTCACAGACTCCTGCCAGGACCACTGCCTCCTTTCGGATCGGGGTCTTGTCGTAGGGCGCAGGGAATAGAAGATGCTTAGTTCGATGTCAAGGACGGATCAACATGCTGTATAGGGTGAAATGGAATGCGGATAGCACTTCAGTCGCGGTCGGTCACTCGGCGAATCCAGGTGTTCGAAGCATAATGAATAACATGTTTGTAGACGTCATACCTCAGGCATGAATCGTTGCCTGTCTCCCCCTCAAGCCCAGTGTAGCCTAGCGCTGCTGACAGCGCCCATTGACACGATCCAGGCTTTCCCCGCATCGATCGCCTGGAGCTACCTCAAACTCAGGGCTTACAGGACACTTCGGAGCTTACTTGGTACGGTTATCCAACGT